TTTAATAGGAAAGATACACACCAAAAAAGATATATCAGGTAGTGATATCTAAGAAGCAAACTAAAGCAGAACAAAGTATGATCTTTTTTTTGCCCCCAAGGTGGCAGATAGCAGGCAGTGTTAGCGTGACTAGCCCACTTGGAAGGACAGAATAGGGAGTAGAGATTTACACTGTGATTTTCTTTCCCCAAGAACCACAATAGGAACTTAACAGGAAAAACCAAAAGAACCACAGACCCTTTGAAAGAAGTGGCAGGCTGCAGCCTACTCTGTGAAGACAGGTGAAAAACTCTAAGCATCCAGGATGTAAGAGGGGGAGAGCCTGCCTCCAATCATACATCCCCATGGGGGAATGTGAAAATCCAGACCACAGGAGAAGGCCTTAACCCTACCCGGAGCTGGACTGGATTTAGGGAGTGGTGTGAAATATAAAAGTAGAAGCAATAGCAGGAAGTCCCTTGCAGGCATTCCCAGTCTCCAGCACTAGCCAAGGGAAGCCATTCCTGACTATATTTCAGAGCATCCCTCAGGGAAGTTAGCCAATGAACTCAGGGAGGGGTTGCAGGGTGAAAGAAGCTCCCAACTGAATTCTGTGATATAATCTCAAGTGGGGATAAACTCCCTTGAACAGAACCCAAGGGTAAGTTGGAAGTGTGCCACAGATAGGAGTGCAGGATCTGGGTGCCCAGCCTTGTGGGCAGATGGGGAGGGACATGGTCTGAAAGCCATGGTTGCTATTTCTGCAGGGAATCTAATGGCCTGGGGCAGATTTGAGTCCTGTGTGCAGGCTGCCCAGATCTACATGTGGTGCTGTTAGCAGGGCACTATGGGAGTAACACAGGCCTCACCAATTATGTGGGAGCTGGGTAAGGCTTACTGCTGCCTGCTACTTCCTACTCACTTTGTGAACTCTTCTGCACAACAGAGGCAGTTATACTCCTCCCTGAAACACTACCACAGTGGCTGGAGAACCACCTGTTCCCTACAGTGGCCATGGCAGCCTCCACCCAAGGAGAGTCTGAGCTAAGACCCACCTAACCCTGCCCCTACCTGGTGGTATTTCTCCACCCACCTTGGTAGCTTAACACAAAGGACAAACTTTTGGGAACTTTATGGCCCCACTCATCTCCTGAGAAGCCAGAATACTTCCCCATGGCAACTCAGGGCAAGCTCAAATCCCACTGCTAATACCACAGCTGCTGCTCTCTTGGAAGCACCACCTCCTGGCTGGTAGCCAAGCAACACAGGCCGTTACAGCACCTCAGCAGAATAACCTATCAGACTACCAGCAGATTTCTCAGCAGAAACCTTACATGCCAGAGGGATTGGGGTCCTATCTTTAGCCTCCTGAAACAAAATAATTGTCAGCCAAGAATTTTCTATTCAGCCAAACTAAGCTTCATAAATGAAGGAAAGATAAAATCTTTTTCAGACAAACAAATGCTGAGAAAATTTGCTACTACCAAACCAGCACTACAAGAAATGCTAAATGAGTTCTAAATCTTGAAACAAAAGCTTGATATATCAAAATGGAACCTCCTCCACATAAACCTCACAGGGTCTATAAAACAACAACACAATGAAAAAAAGTACCTAGGTAAGAGCTAACATGATGAATAGAACAGTACCTCACATCTCAGTAGTAACATTGAATACAAATGGCCTAAATCCTCCATTAAAAGATACAGAATGGCAGAATGGATAAAACCAACCAAGTATCTGCTGTCTTCAAGAGCCTTACCGAAATAAACTTAAGGTAAAGAGGTGGAAAAACATATTGCATGCAAACCAAATGGAAAACAAAAGTGGGCAGGAGTAGTGATTCTTATACTAGAAAAAGGGATACATGATAGATGCTGCTACTTTAAGATTATAAGATTATCAGGTAAGACTTCTTTGAGGAGGTGATGTTTGCTACAGACCTCAATAAAGAGTGGAAATAGGCCAAGTGTGGTGACTCACGCCTGTACTCCCAACACTTTGGGAGGCCAAGGCAGGTGGATCACCTGAGGTCAGGAGTTTGAGACCAGCCTGGCCATCATGGTGAAACTCATCTCTATTAAAAATACAAAAAATTAGCTAGGCATGTTGGCGGGCACCTGTAATCCCAGCTATCTGGGAGGCTGAGGCAGGAGAATTACTTGAACCCAGAAGGCAGAGGTTGCAGTGAGCCGAGACTGTGCCATTGCAGTCTAGCCTGGGCAACAAGAGTGAAACTCCATCTCAAAAAAAAAAAAACAGAGTGGAAATAAGCAGTTTTAGATCTGTAAAGAGTGGCCTAGGCAGAGGAAGAGCAAGTATGTGGACCATTTTAAAAATATATGCACAGCCTTTTATGATCATTCCTTTGAACGAATATATATACTTGGTATTAGTAATATACCAGGCAGATTGCTGAGAACATAGGCAGGTACCATCCCTGCCTTCATAGGGCTCACAGCCTAGCAGAGGAGTCTGACATTTCACAAATGACTTCAAGCAATTATTCAATTATCAGTCTGATGCTGGGGAGAGAAGAAAAACAGGCACTAGAAGAACACAGAATGGGTCAGCCCAACCTGGTGTGGCCAGACAGGAAAGAATTCCTTGAATAAATGATAATTATAGGATAACTAAATAATAAGTAGCAAGGTGGGATGTAAACTTCCAGATAGTGGGAATCTTGTATTTGAAGAACTAAAGTGAACATGGCTAGAGCATATATAAGGGGACAAATGAGATAAGCCAGAAGAAACAGGGAGAAGAAGCAATCCAGCCAGTCAGCATATAGAATGGCAATTAGACACCCGTGACCTTCCAGCACCATTTGAAGAGGAAGAAGTATCTATAACCTAAAACTGCACACCTTTTATTTTACCACATTCTACAGTGACCACGGACCAGCTTGAAATGGGTATCTTCTAACTGACTCAACTTCATATGACACCTTGGTTACAATTGCCAGATATCTGTTTGTGATGGTTAATATTAGGTATTAACTTGATTAAAGGATGCCTGGATAGCTGGTATTGTTTTTGGGTGTCTTTGTGAGGGTGTTACCAGAAGGGAGTTACATTTGAGTCAGTGGACTGGGAGAGGAAAACCTACCCTCAATGTGGGTGGGGCCATTCAATTGGTTGCCAGCACAGCTAGAACAAAGCAGGCAAAAGAAGGTGGGATAAGCTGGCCTGCTGAGTCTTCTGGCCATCATCTTTCTCCTGTGCTGGATGCTTACTCCTGTTCCTTCTGCCCTTGGACATCAGACAACAGGCTTTTCAGCCTTTGAAGGCTGCACTCTCAGCATCTCTACTTTTGAGGCTTTTGGACTCTAATTGAACCACTACTAGCTTCTTTCTTCCCCAGCTTGCAGACGGCCTATTGTGGGACTTCACCTTGTAACTATGTGAGCCAATTCTCCCTAATAAATTCTTTTCCATATATACGTATATCCTGTTAGTTCTGTTCCTCTGGAGAACCCTAATGCACTGCTCAGTTCCCAAATGGTCAACACTATTACATATTTTCTGCATTCATTCCTCAAAAGGGACAAATTCCAAGTCCTCTCATCACATCTACCAGTCTATCTGCATCTGTCTTCACCTACTCTTTCCTCCTGTCCCTATGGATGAACTACCCATATTCCCAGCCAAGGTCAACTTCAATACCACTAATGTAGTAGGTCCCATCTACTCTCACTTTACCACTGTCTTCTCACTGTGGAATCACCCTCATCAGCATAACAATGTGCTATTTTATCATCCATCTGAAAAAAAAAGTCAGTCTTAATCTATAACTATTCAGCTACCTCCTCCCATTTCTCTACTCAATATGTATAAAAGTTCCTCCAAAAATCAGCCCTTCTATTCTTAGATGAATTCCAACAAGATTTTCATATCCACCACGCCCGTCAAACACTGGTAATCTCACATTGCAAATGTTTATGTACAGTTCTCAGTCTCACTTTTTAGAAATCCTAGGCAACATTTAACAGTATAGACATCTATGACCTTCCAGCACCATTTGAAGAGGAAGAGTTAGCTATAACCTAAAACTGCACACCTCCTTTTATTTTGCCACATTCTACGATGACCATGGATCAGCTTGCATCTGATTCAGCACAATCAGAAAGTACTCTCTTCATTAAGTTTCTGGGATACTACCCTCTAATCCTTATGGCCACTCTTCTATCCTCTTACCTAATTCTTCCTCACCTCCTATAGCAAGTTGACTAAAGCACTAGATTAGTTACTCAAACTTATCTCATTGCAAAGTTTCTGACAAGCTCAATATCTGATATTCAATAACTATTTACTCAAATGGGCAAACAAATGACAGTAAAATTATGTAAGTACAGCAGTATTTCCAAAACATGAAAACCAGAAGCAATCCAGTAATATTAATGAAAATACTTGATTTTTAAGTTACTTACTTTTAACTAAAATTTTGATTAACAAAATGTCTAAGGAGCTGTATAGATAACTTACCATAGTACATCTGAAACTGCTGTTCTTAAAAAGACTGGCTTATAAGACAGGCCCTCAGCCAGCATCTGAGAATTAACTGATAAGGGCAAGCCACTGTGCCTGCCTAGACTGTAGGTATCAACAATATGATTTATGCTGAACACCAACTTTCCTTCTCGAAATCTGGAATTTTTGTATGTGCCAAGCAGAGGATATCCACATGACCAATCCAACACCCTGGGCAATGTGTCTCCAACAGGAGAGCATAAATGTCAATTTGCTGCATTTTCATTGCTGGAAAGAAAGTGTGCTTTGCATGATCCTTCAGGAGAGGGAGGGAAGAGAGCATCTAGAAGCCTGCAAATGGATTCCTAAAGATTCTGCCTGTGTGTCTCTCTTCTGATCCAGCTGTATAACCTTAATACTTCATTGTAATAAGTCTTAGCCTTGAGTATAACTATACGCTCAGTCCCATAAGTTCTGGAAATTTTCCAAATATGGAGGTTGTTTGGGGAACCCAACATAACAGCAGCTTATTCAAAAAGTCCGAATTCTTACCTGCTGATATGCTTCATAAATCACATCAAATAGAAAAGCTTGGGGCATTTCACTTGCTCTGTGTCTGGCACGTTCTAGCGAGTGGTCTAAGCAACCATCAGCAGATGGACTGATGACAGTAGATACAAGAGGTCGAATGGCTCCTGCTGCCTAAAGAACAAACAGGCAAAGAATATATTATTTCACCTACAAGCTATTTTAAAGTGAAGTTCTGAATTCAGTATCTCACTTTTGATAGATCTTACTCATACCTTCAACAAGTTACCTTAAGAAAACATCTGAATAAGTGTGATTGGTTCACAAATGGTTATTTCAGATTAAAAAAAATCAATTTTATAGTATTACAGTTGCATACATTAAGGTGAAATTTTTCTTCATTATAGGTTCAAAATCCTTCTGATCACAGGCCATTGAGGTCAACACTTAAAAAAAAGATGCTAAGATCCAACTGGGTATTCTCTGAAGATGAAGGAGGCAGAGAAAGACTATCATGAAATAATTGATATGGATTGCAAATGAATATTAATATACCCTCAGGAGATTTACATATTAGATACGTAAGGAAATAAACAAGTTCTTCAAGATCCCCTAGATGAGACTCAACAATCCAAACAATGTGGGTTGCTCTAATTTGTGTCTTGCTTTAATTCATGAGGAAAAACAGTTCCTTTCAAACACAGTCTCCATGCAATGCTTCCTCAGGCAATACCCACTGACTTCAATTGCTATGATGAAAGCTGTCTTATTAATAGTTGCATCTGAACTTTAGAAGAGACATTTCATGTCTGACAATTTTTCCCTTTATCTTTAATGGAGTCTCATTGTAATACAGTTTTGAAGGCCATTACCAAAACAACTGCCTTAGTGAAACTGCTTTAAAACACAGTTCAATGGTGGGCAGTTAACCAAACCTTATATGATCTCCAAAACATCCTTTCTTCCACACAATTGCTACATGGGGATTGCAGCATATGAAATTAGTGCACAAATAAAACAAGTGTCTTCTTGATGAGACCAACATCTGAATAAGATAAATAGTCCACACACTGGTTTGCAAAAGCCAAGGAATTGGCTGAAAATCAAAGTGAATGTATGAGCCAAATAGACAGTTTATAAAATGTGTCACCCCTTCCAGTGCCTCAAGTAGAAATTTGGAACCTAACCATAAAAGCAAAAATGAGGACACAGGGTGACAAAGAGAAAGCGGTATCCAAGTAGGTGAAGGGTAGGTCAACTGGTCAAGCTCAACACCTATCAGTAGGGCTAGAAGATAAGACAAAAAGGAAATGCGTGTACACACAAACATGTATGCTGCTTTAAGAGAAAAGATTCTGCTGAAACTGTATATTTTTGGAATTCTATACCAGGGCATGAAGTTAAAAAATGCTTAAGAGAACATGAGACATCCAAAATGCCAATGCAAGGGGCTCTGCAGACTCTCTCATCGTTGAAACTAGCAAAAATTATTTTAAGAACCATTAAAAGCCTCTGAAAATTGTCCTAAGGACATTCAGCAAATGAAGAAACATTTATTCGAGAAAATCTACTAAATTTTGGTAAGAACAGACTGTGGTATTCGAGCCATGACCAATTTCTTCTTCTTTCCCCCAGCCAGCTCAGTGTAATGGCTAAAAAGATAGGGCCTCCTCACCCCAAGTTCCCAGTATGAAGGGCAGACTGCCAGCATTTCCTATGCCCCTCAACACTATGGCACAGAGGCTAAAATCTATGCAAGTGTGGCCCACAAGGTTGAGGCCCACCTCTTTCACATAGTTCCCACCCATGCCCCTGGAATATTGGGGCCCTGATCAGTCTTCCTCCAGCTCACACATATGGCAATTTTCATACCAGGGGAAATAAAAGACTAGAGTCTTGTACTGCCCCCGTGTAGGTCAGAGTAGCGATTTTACTCCCAAACAATGAGTGCACTGTGCCCAGCCACGGTTTCAAAGCAGTGATGTGGTGATTTTTCACAAGTAGAAGACAAAGGATGTGAGAGTAGAGAGCTATGAAGCACTCCCAAAGGGAACTCGCTTTATTTGGAAATTCAAACCTAAGTGTACTCTCAAAAGAGATCATCATGGTAAGCAATTAAAAGAATGCTGGAGATACATGAACGCAAAAAGCTAAACTGTCGGACAGCCAGTTTACCAGTGAAAGCCAGGGGAAAACACAGCTAACAAAAGCTCTCCTGGGATTAGGAACAAACCTCCAATACTGGCCTCAAAAACTACCCCTGCAAAGGGGCTAGAATTTAACTGAGACTACAAGGGATATATGCCCAAGGCATTATCAAAAATAAGGGTGAGCATTAGCACACAATGAGTGAAGCTTAACAGCTAGGTGAGATATCAAAGGCAGACAATATAATAGAGATCAGGGAAGGAGACAGTCAAAGAGAGCCCCCACTGAAACCACTATCATTCCAGGATGACTATATAATACTCAAGTGTCCACCCTCTGAAAAAGCAACATCAGAAGCTTTTCCCTGTGCAAGTAAAAGACATCACTAAAATAGGCCAGCCAAGTCATAAACAAATAGGCAAACAAGTCATGCATCCAAATAGGAAAGTGATAGCCTCCAAAGATAGGGTGGGAGGGGAAGGGCAGGCAAGAGGAACTGCCTGAGAAGGCCCTGCCCATGTATCAAACTTAGCAGATAAAGACCTCAAATCAGAGTCAGCTACTATAAATATGTTCAAAGAACTAGAGGAAATTACACTCAAAAGTAGTAAGGCAAGGTATGACGATATCACTAATGTTAAGCAGTTTAAAAATACAGAAATTCTGGAATTGAAAAGTATAACTATAATGAACATTTATAAAGGAGCTCAGTGACAAGCTTGGACTGGAGAGGAATCAATGAACTTACACTTAGATCAATAGAGGTAATACAATCCAAACAACAGAGAAAAAAGGATGAAGATAAATGAACAGAGCCTCAGAATAAAGGACACCATTAAGTACACAACAATTTTGTATTGGGAGTACCAAAAGGAAAGACGAGAAAGAAGCAGAAAAAAAAAAAAAAAGCAAGGAAATGACTGGTAACCTCCCAAAATAAAGGAAAAATTCCTCATCAAGAAGCTCAATGAACTCCAAAGTAGAAAAATCAGGAAAAAATCTACATCTAGACACATCATAGTGAAAGTGCTGAAAACCAAAGTCAAGGAAAAAATCTTGAAAGTCGCTCGAGAAAAATGATTAGTAAGAGAACATCAATATTAACAAGTGACTTATCAGAAACAATAAAGTTAGAAGGCAGTGGGGTAATAGCCACTAGAAGTAAAAATATCTCATATCCAGCAAAACCAGTATTTCACACATGAAAGCAAAATGAAAACACTTCCACAGAAACACAGAATTCTTTGCTAACAGATTCATCTTAGAAAAAAATAGCAACAAATGTTCAGCCTGAAGGAAATCAACCCGAGACAGCAATTCTAATTCACATTAAAAAACAAAGTGTACCAGTAAAGATAATGTAAGTATAAAAGACATTATATAAAAGTATAAAAGATTTTTCTTTATATACTGGTTTTAAAAGCAATTATGGAACGTGAGAGTTCCCTGACCCCCTCACAGGACCTGAAACAGGGGTGTGGCTCATCTGTTTGGCTGCCACACACTCAAACCCCTTATGGGATGCGGAGCACCCAGATGGGCAGGTGCAATAGCCAAAGCAAGTGCTTTTGGGCTTCAGCCCCACAGTAGCATCTAGGGGTGGGTACCCATGACTCCCAAAGCCCCAGTGGGCATTCATGTTACAATGCTCCTTTAGCTCTGTCGTCCACAGACAGCTTAAGTGTTAACCAGCTCAGTGCCCTCCTGGTATCCAGGTACTTGTCCAGCGTCCAGGAAGAATTAGATCAAACATGAACTTGAAGGATGGTGCACGTGGGGGTTTTATTGAGTGGTGGAGGTGGCTCTCAGTAGGATGGATGGGAAGCTAAAAGGGGGATGGGGTGGGAAGATGATCTTCCCCTGGAGTTTGGCCATCCAGCAGTCAATCTTCTCTCCCGCCATCCCCAGCTGAACTCCTCTCAAAGTTCAGATGCTCTTTCTCTTCTCTCCTTCTCTGCTGCACCATTCTGCCATTCTGCTGCTCTTCTGTCTGTCTGCTCTTCTTCTCATGGAGCCTGGGGTTTTGGGCTTATGTGGGTACAGGATAGGGAGGGTGTGGCAGGGCAAAAGGCAACATTTGGGTGTGAAAACAGGAAAGTCTATTCCCATTTAGGACCATGAGTTTCCAGGCTTGAGGATGGGGCCTTTGCCAGGGAACAGCCTTCTTCTACCCAATATTTCCTTGCCTCCTGTCTGTATAAATTATATTAAACAATAGATACATAGTTAACTGATTAATCTATAACATATTGAACGGTGTATATTTGATGAAAACAGCAAAAAGGAGGTGGATAGGAATAAAGGTGTACTGGATTAAGGAAATGATACCAGATGGCAACTTGTACCCACAGTAACAAATTAATTAAAAATGACAGGCAAGGAAGTTAATACAACAAACTCTATAAATACATACTTGCAGCTGGGTACAGTGGCTCACACCTGTAATCCCAGCACTCTGGGAGGGAGAGGCGGGCAAATCACTTGAAGTAAGGAGTTTGAGACTAGTCTGGCCAACGTGGGGAATCCCTGACTCTACTAAAAATACAAAAATTAGCAGGGTGTGGTGGTGAATGCCTGTAGTCCCAGCTACTTGGAAGGGTGAGGCAGGAGAATCACTTGAACCCAGGAAGCAGAGGTTACAGTGAGCTGAGATCATGCCACTGCACTCCAGCCTAGGCAATAGAGACTGTCTCAAAAAATTTGTTTTAATTTAAAATTTTAAAAAGTACATACACACACACACATATACACACACACACACACACACACACACACACACACTTGCTCACCTTTCATCTTCTATAGACAGCAAAATATAAACTAATAATTATTAGGTTGGTGCAAAAGTAATTGCAGTTTTTACCATTACTTTCAATGGCAAAAAATAAAATGGATTGTTGGGTTTCTTACATAGATATAATATGCATAATAACAGTATAAAAAAGGAAAATAGTAGAGCCATGTAATTTTTAAATATCTCACTGGAATTAAGGTAGTACATTCTGAAGCAAATAAATGTTTGCATT